TTTTATTTCAGGATGAAGGACTTCCTTTAGCATTTCTTATAGTTCAGACCTACTAGTGATGAACTCTCAGTTTATGTTTACTTGGTAATGTTTTAATTTCTCCTCAATTTTTGAAGGATGATTTTGCCAGGTATAGAATTCTTGGTTGAGATTTTTTTCCTTTAAGCACTTTGCATATGTCATCCTATTACCTCCTGCCTCCATAGTTTTTGATGAGAAGTCAGCTGTTTGTCTTATTAAAGATTCCTTGTGCATGATGATTATTTTCTCTTGCTGTTTTCAAGAGTCTCTTTATTTGGCTTTCAGCAGTTTGATTATAATGTGTCTTGGTGTGGATCTCTTTGAGTTAATCCTATTTGAAGTTTGTTGAGCTTGGTAGTGTAGACTCATGTCTCTCATTAAACTAGGGGGAGATTATGGCCATTATTTCTTCAGATTTTCTTTATACCTCCTTTTATTCTCTGCTCTTCTTTTGGCAGTCACATTATACATACGGTTGTATGCTTGATTTTGTCCCACAGGTCTGTTAAGACTCTGTTCATTCTTCTTCATTCTTTTTTCTTTCTGTTACCTAGGTAATGACTGTTATTCTCAATGGACCTGTCTTCAGATTCACTGATCCTTTCCTCTGCCTGCTGAAATCTGCCATTAAGCCCACCACGAGTGAATTTTTTTGTTTTACTTATTATAGTTTCCAACTTCAGAATTTCTATTTGGTTTATTTTTCTAATTTCTATCTCTTTATTGGTATTTTATTACTTTTTGAGACATTATTCTCATTATTTCCTTTGGTTATTTAGACATGGTTTCTTTTAACTCTTTAAACATACTTCAAATAGTTTATTTAAAGTCTTTGTCTAATGGGGTCCCTGGCTGGCTCAGTTGGTAGAGCATGCAACTCTTGATCTTGGAGTCATGAGTTTGAGTCCCACACTGGGGGTAGGTTTACCTTAAAAAAAAAAAAAAAAAAGAATAAAGTCCTTTTGTAGTTAATCCAATGTGTGGGTTTCCTCAAAGTCAGTTTTCTATTAATTTCATTTCCTGTTTACAGATGAACATATGGGCCATACTTTCTTGTTGCATGCCTCATAATTTTTTTGTTGTTGTTGAAAACTAGAGATTTTGGGGCACCTGGGTGGCTCAGTGAGTTGAGTGTCTGACTTCAACTCAGGTCATGATCTCATGTTCATGGGTTCAAACCCTGCATTGGGTTCTGTGCTGATAGCTTGGAGCCTGGAGCCTACTTCTGATTCTGTGTATCCCTCTCTCTCTGCCCCTCCCCTGCTGATGCTCTGTCTCTCAAAAAATAAAATGTTAAAAAATTTGTAAACTAGACATTTTGAATATATATTATAATGTGGCAACTCTGGAAATGAGATTTTTTCTCTTCCTCAGGGTACATTGTTGCTGCTTGTTGTACTTATTGTTTGTTTGTTTACTGAATTTCCTAAATTATAAATTGTGTAAAGTTTATAATCTTTGTCACATTCAGCCACTAAAGTCTCTTTTATATTAACTTAGTGGCCAACTAGTGATTTGACAATTTCCTTATATGTCTGGCACAAAAAAAAAAATCTCCCAGGCTTTGTAGATGGGCTCTGCCTGTAGGTTTGGAGTGTGTCTTTATCACTCAGCCAGGCAGTTTACAGCTCTGTCTTAGCTTTCACTTCCTACTTGAGCAGAACTTCACTGTCAGCCAGAGGTAAAATTTTCAGGCCTTCTCAGTTCTCTTCTGAGCATGAATCCAGCCCTTGGGATGTATGCATGTGGCTTTCTAGTTTCCCATGAATATGTCAGAACTATTCAAAGCCTTTATTCCCCAAAGCATCTTATTCTCTAGCCTTTCTTTCCTCCCTAAGTTTTCAGTTTGTTTGCACTAAATGTCATCCTTTGCCCCAGACAGCAGGAACTAATACATTTACCTTGAAATGTTTTTGACAAATGGACCCTGATTTGTCACCTCAGTCCTGGGAGAGTTCTGAATTAGGCACACAACCTTGGAGCCTGCCCTTCAGGGAGCCACCATACAAGTCTTAAAACAACAATTCTTTGGGGCGCCTGGGTGGCTCAGTCAGTTAAGCATCCGACTTTGGCTCAGGTCATGATCTCACGGTTCATGGGTTTAAGCCCTGCGTCGGACTCTGTGCTGACAGCTAGCTCAGAGCCTGGAGCCTGCTTTAGATTCTGTGTCTCCCTCTCTCTCTGACCCTCCCTTGCTCACGCTGTCTTTCTCTCTCTCTCTGAAATAAATAAAAACATTTAAAAAACAACAACAACAATTCTTTGAGAATAAGGTCTATTTTGCTCCCTTTGGTACTTGGTGCTTATACTAGGAATGTGGGTTTTTTTTAAGGTTGTTGCCAAGCTGGGGATTAGTACCAGGGTAAGTTAAAGTGTCATGAAGCTTGCTTATTGAGACTCAGCTTTTTTCTTGATTAAACATTCTCTGAGTTGTTATAAGGTTTTGAATAGATTCCAGACTTCTGGACTGCCTTTTGGAGTTCCCTATTTTTTTTGACATCATATTTTCATTGTCTTAAAAATCTCTTCTTATCAACACACCACCACCCCAGTTCCAATTCTTATTGCATCACATCAGGACTATTTTAGGGACTCTTTTTAAAAAATTTTTAGGGTCGCCTGGGCGGCTTAGTTGGTTAAGCGTCCGACTTTCACTTAGGTCATGATCTCGCAGTTCGCGGGTTCGAGCCCCACATCGGGCTCTGTGCTGACTGCCAGCTCAGAGCCTGGAGCCTGTTTCAGTCTGTGACTCCCTCTCTCTCTGACCCTCCCCTGCTCACACTGTCTCTCTCTCTCTCTCTCCTAAGAAATAAAAAAAAATTTTTTTTAAATATTTATTTATTTTTGAGAGAGGGACAGAGAGAGAGACAGAATGTGAGTGAGAAAGGGACAGAGAGAGAGAGAGGGAGACACAGAATCCGAAGCAGGCTCCAGGCTCTGAGCTGTCAGCACAGAGCCCAACATGGGGCTCGAACCCATGAACTGTGAGACCATGACCCAAGCTGAAGTTGGGTGCTCAACTGATTGAGCCCCCCAGGTGCCACTCTTTTTTTTTTTTAAGTAATCTCCACACCCACTGTGGGGCTTGAACTCATGACCCCGAGACCAAGAGCTGCGTGCTCTACTGACTGAGCTAGTCTGGTGCCCCTTAGGGTTTCTTAAAGTGGTACCTCTGATAAACCACCACCTCCTTGATTGATTCTTGCTATTAAGTGATATCTCCAAGCTCTAGTTCCAGCATGGCTTTCTATCTGTATCTCATTATTCTTCCCACCTTCACCTCCGTGCTGTTTTGATGAATCCATGCATGTAGGCTGCTCCCAAGTGTGCAATTTGCTTTCCACTGCATACCTCCATTAATGCTGCTCTTCCACCTCGATTCATGCTGTTTGCTCCCCATCTGGATCATCCCCTACCCTCACCTCTGCCTACTGAAACAGTGTTCATCTCTTAAGAATCAGGGGCACCTGGGTGCCTCAGTCAGTTAAGCATCTGACCCTTGATTTCAGCTTAGGTCATGATCTCATGGTTAATGCCTTCTGTTGGTTAATGCAGGACTATCCGTCTCTGTGCTGACAGAGTGGAGCCTGCTTGGGACTCTCTCTGTTCCTCTCTCTTTCTGTCCCTCCCCCCACTTGAGCATGCATGCACTCTCTCTCTCTTAAAATAAATAAATAAACTTAAAAAAGAATCAACTCAAACTTGAACCTTTCTATTAAGTCATTCTTAATCACTTCAACCAAAGCTAATCTCTCCTTCCACTAAATTGCTATGCCACTTTTGTGCCATTAATGTTATATATGTCATATTACTGCTTGCATTATTATCTTTATTCATGTTTTCATTCATTCAATAGATATTTAATAGCACCCAGTATTTGCTAGGGCTACAGTGGAAAGACATTGTCCTTAACAGGATCATTAGTTAAGACATTGAACAAATAAACACATATATATTATAATAATTACTAAGAAAGATGAGAAACCCAATAGGATCTATGAGTGAGAATAGGATGAGTCCAGTTAAGAGTGAGGGGAGAGCACAAAAGGCAGAAGGAATAACAGGTCAGAGCCAGAATCCAGAGCCCTCCGTGTGTCTTGCCGTTTCTATCAGAGTCAGAGAAACATTTTCATTAGCACAGTGCTTTACACTTCCTGCACATGAAGAATAAGAACTATTCTTCTTATTTATTATTCTTAATACATGTTTTAGTGTTATGCTTAAAAAATTTTTTTTAATGTTTATTTTTCTTGAGAGAGACAGAAACAGAGTGAGAGCAGGGGAGGGGAAGAGCGAGGGAGACACAGAATCAGAAGCGGCTCCAGACTCTGAGCTGTCAGCACAGAGTCTGATATGGAGCTCAAACTCACAAGCAGTGAGATAATGATCTGAGCTGAAGTCAGATGCTTAACCACTGAGTCACCCAGGAACCCCTATTTTGTTATTCTTAGTAAACATTAAGAAGAAGGTAGGTTTGATAAGAAACAAAAGAATCCAGTGGTAAAGAGGGAGAAGAATAAGTGAATAGAGAATAAGATTTAAATTCCTTTCTTTTTAAAAAATCTTTAATGTTTATTTATTTTTGAGAGAGAGAGACAGAGCATGAGCAGGGGAGGAGCAGAGAGAGAGGAATACAGAATCTGAAGCAGGGTCCAGGCTCTGAGCTGTCAGCACAGACCCCAATGCGGGGCTTGAACCCATGAACTGTGAGATCATAACCTGAGCCGAAGTCAGACACTCAACTGACTGAGCCACCCAGGCACCCCCCGCTTTTTTAAAAAATATTTTTAAATGTTTATTTATTTTTTGAGAGAGACAGAGAGACAGAGCATGGGCTAAATTTCTATTTCAATACAATAGTGGTAGTAGCAACAGCAGCTAACTTTGAGTGCTTACTTTGGCCTTGGAATTGTGCTAAGAGCTTTATGTGTGTTGTTTTATATAACTTCAAAATTGTGTGGTGTCTTACTTTTCTGCAGTGTCTTGACACATTATCAGGATGTGGACCTCTCCTTCCCACAGCAACCAGAGAGATGCAATCTTTTCAGTGGTACGAAGAAGGGGACAGTATTTCTCACTTCATACCGGGTAATTCTACTTCTACCTTGACCTATCAACTCTACATTTGGTTTCCTTAAAACAGAGAGAGATTTAACATTGACTTCCAAACTGTTGGCACTTTATGATTCTCCATGTTGAAGGATATGGGAGAAAATGGGTGATGTTTCTCAGTTAGGCCAGAATGTCAAACAGCCCCGACCTTAGGATTGCTCTAATATGTCTTGGTCCGTGGACAGACTGCATTCCTCCTCCACTTCTCTCCTCTCTTAGGTGATCTTCATGACTTCACACTTAGTCAGTGATCCCATGTTGTCTTTCATGATGCCATTTGATCTGATGAGTAACTGTGCCATTGAACAACCAGTCTTTGCTGCCAACTACATTAAAGGGACCATTCAGGCAGCTTCGGATGGTAAGTGGTCTGCCTCAGAAGTGTATTTTTTTTCCCTCAAAAGCTTCCAGAAGGTTCAGACTTGGCTCATGCTGGAATTCAAAGAAAGCTGTGTTGCTCCATTGGGCAGTGCTTCTCTCTCTGTCCGGGGCTGTCCTTCTCTGACCAGTGGTGCCAGAATCTTAGTGTGTGCCATTTCTTCCCCCAGGTGGCTGGGAAGGACAGGCTACTTTTAAATTAACCTTCAGAAAAGGAGGTGCCATCGAATTTGCCCAGTTGATGATGAAAGCTGCCTCTGCTGGTGAGCAATCCTAATAAAGACACTAACCCTTGGGGGTTTTGAGGCCTGTGGAATTGAAGTAGTGGGCCCGCTACCCGGCCGAAACTTTGGTCTCTACAGTCAGGCAGTCGGTAGCTGCACCTGTATTCAGCAGGCATTTCCTGAGTCTCCCTACTATGGCACAAGTACAATATTACATTCTGGGAACAACATTATTCAGTCCCTTCTTGTCTTCAAGGAGTTTGCAGTCTGGCAGGAGTTTATATTCAGACACTCGAACCACTAATTATACCTGATAACTTTTGTCCATTTTTAATGTTTAAAAAAATTTTTTTTAGTGTTTATTTATTTTTGAAGGAGCGAGAGACAGAGCACAAGCAGGGGAGGAGCAGAGAGGGGGGGAGACACAGAATCTGAAGCAGGCTCCAGGCTCTGAGCTGTCAGCACAGAGTCAGACGCGGGGCTGGAACTCATGAGCCATGAGATCACGACCAGAGCTGAAGTTGGAGGCTTAACTGACTGAGCCACCCAGGCGCCCCTTTAATAATTTTTTTTAATATGTATTTTTTAAAGCTTATCTATTTATTTTGAGAAAGAGACAGCATGAGTGGAGGAGGGGCAGTGAGAGAGGGAAAGAGAATCCCAAGCAGGCCCCATGCTGTCTGTGCAGAGCCCAGTGTGGGGCTCAAACCCACAAAGCTGTGAGATCATGACCTGAGCCGAAACCAAGATTCAGATGTTTGCCCAACTGAGACACCCAGGTGTCCCTCTTTTGTCCATTTAAATGTTGGTCTCATACATCACTGAGTACTCTCATTTTCAGGCCAGGAAGCCCCAGTTGCCTGAGCTCTTCTTCCTTTGTTATGCCTTTTGTCTTTTTTCCTCTCTGGCTTTGACTTTGCTTCTCTTAGGTTTAATCCCCATCTTCCACAAGAAGAGGGAAGAGGTATTGTCCAGCCCTACAACACTGATGTAACAGATGTACCAGAGAACTCTTTCAGACTTTGAATGCAAATAATCTTTTTGTGATATACTTTTATTCAGTCTAGCCTCATTTCATGCCCTTGCTCTCTCACCTTTTGTACTCTAGTCCAACTGGTCTTCTTTGTGCCCTGTTCTCTCATCTCTAAGCCTTCATGCTATTTGCTCTACCTGGGTAACTTTATTTATGGATTTGTTTGTTTGTTTAATTTTATGTTTGAAGTAAAACTCTACACCTAATATGGGGCTCGAACTCATGGCCCTAAGATCAAGGGGCATATGCTCTACTGACTGAGCCAGCCATGTGCCCTGGAGTTTGCTCTATCTGGAATGCTCTTTCTCTTTCTTCCTTGCCTCCACCTCAACTCCAATCTAGTTGAGATGAACACAATCTAGAAGAGACAGACACATGCAAATATTCCAAAATAGAGGCATAGAAAAATGCTGGGGACACACCAGAGGGTGGAATGAATTTTCTAGCTCAGAAGACTGAATCATGATACTATAAACCACGGTTAAGAATATAAGAGATCTGGGGCTCCTGGGTGGTTCAGTCGGTTGGGCATCTGACTTCGGCTCAGGTCATGACCTCAGGGTTTGTGGGTTTGAGCCCCGCGTCGGGCTCAGTGTTGACAGCTAGCTCGGAGTCTGGAGCCTGCTTCGGATTCTGCGTCCCACTCTCTCTCTGACCCTACCCTGCTCACTCTGTCTCTCTCTCTCTCAGAAATAAATGAAACATTAAAAAAAAAAAAAAGAATATAAGAGACCGTCTAAGTTGGAGAGGAAACAAGTTCAATTTTAGATATAATAATGCTAACATTTACTGAATGCTTACCATGCAGTGGGCAGTATTCTAAGCCCTTTACATGTGTCATGTAAATTGATAACTGAGGAAACTGAGTCAGTGATGGTTCTACAGTTTCCCAAGGCTATACGGGTAGAAAGTGATGGAGCTAGAATCTGAACCCTAAATCTACTCTCACTTTCTTTTTAAACTTCTTATTTTGAAAAAAAATCTTATCTAGAAAAGTTGTAAGAATATTACAATGGACTCTCATAGACGCTTCATCTAGATTCACTCATCATTAACATTTTCCCACATTTTGTTTTATCTTACTCTTTTTTTGCTTTTGTTTTTACCGAACGATTTGGGAATAAGTCACCAAGATTGTTTCTTTCATTCCTTGAGTATTCAAGTGTGTATCTGCTAAGACCAAGGGTTTTCTCTTCTCTACCCTCGGTCTACTTATCAAATTCAGAGAATTTAAGATTGAAACAATGCTATCATTTAATATATGGTTTATATTCAAATAAGTATAGTATATAAATGATGCTGTGTTCTTTTGATCTATACTATTAACCATTGCATCCTATTAAACGTGAGGTACATTGGAGTGCTAGAGGCCAGCAGACGTGCAGCTCAGAACTCCAAAGATGAACTGTATCCAGAGACTGATCTGGAACTCCTCAGCACATGGGTCATTTCTGGGGACACGTGAGTGATAGGCTCAGTCAGTGAATAAGGGATGGTATTCCAAGGTCCTCAACATCTAAGGGGTGGGTAGGGTGGGGCTGACTGAGATAGGAGGAGAGTCAAGTGAGTTTATTATCCCAGAAATCAAGGAAGAGAAATTTCCAGTATTACTGAGTGGTCATCTGTCAGCTGCTGCAGAGGTGTTTGATAAAATGAAGACTGAAAACCATGCATTGCATTTGAGTTTGTGGTGGTATTAGCAAAACAGAAATGCTAAAGATAGTTGGCGGAAAAGCCATGTATAGGAAATTGAGAAGTAAGAAAATGTGTTACTATTACCTTTAATGATACAATGCAAGATATGAAGGCCAAGGAGTTCGAATACTGTACCCAACCAACAGCTCTTCATTGTCCAGAGGGCAGACAGCATCTGAAGCCTGACATTGGATAACATTGGTGTACTGGCTGACAGAGCGTGGCCAGATGGAACCCAGAGGCAGGGGATACTTGAAAGCCCAGTTCTTCTTTGCTACAGATGTCTGGAAAACTCAGAATATTTGCATACTGGATATTGAATTTGCTCTTATTTTTCACCTCACAATAGAGGGGGCTTATTTTTAGGATTATGGGCTAAGGATTGGGCAACTTGAGGGAGTCCTCTTTGTGGTTTTATTAAGATATGCTTCTTGGCTTGCAAAGAGAGGTTCAGTGTCCTAACAGTTACATAGCTTTTTGGAAAGGGTTTAGGCTATTTAGGTGAACTTGGCCCAATGTCTGCCTACCCCTGCTCCTCAAGCAAGAGTCAGGGATTGTGAGATGGGCTTCCTTGAGGCCTTCGGGATTAACTACCCATCATGCTTGATGATTTGATTCTTTGATGCTTTACTCACTGTATACCAAACACTATGTGAGATGGTTGAGAACACAACAGTGAACAAGACATACATAGTCCCCCACCTTCGTTAAACTTACAGTCTAGTGAGAGTCATATAAGAAATACACAAACGGGGCACCTGGGTGGCTCAGTTGGTTAAGCATCTGACTTTGGCTCAGGTCATGATCTCAAGGCGTGTTAGTTGTGCAGACAGCCCAGAGTCTGTAGCCTGCTTCAGATTCTGTGTCTCCATCTTTCTCTGCCCCTTCCCCACCCCCCCCTCGGTCGTTCTGTCTCTCTCTCTCAAAAATAAATAAACATTAAAAAAAGAAATATGCAAACATATAAGTTAGTAAAATAATTACTTCTGGCAAGGATACTAATAGGATATTGAAAAGGAGGATAATGGGGCTAAGGAGGGCAGGTTTAGATTTAGAGTGAATTAGTTAAGATAATACTAGTTATTGAAACAGATAAACCCCAAATTATCAATAGCTTAGGACAATAGATATTACTGCTTATGTAAATGTCAATCAGTAGGGATAAAGGGGGCTGTGTTCTACATAGCCCTTCAGTGACTCAGGGTAATAGGGTCTCTGCCCATCTTTAACACATGGCTTCCACAGCCTCTCTGGCTGGCTGGCAGAGAGGGAAATAGAATAGGGGTTTCACTTGGAAAGCCTGCGTGGGCCAGGCCTGGAAGCGGTGTATATTCCTTGTGGTCAGATGCCAGAAAGTAGTGTAGTAGGCTGATAATCGTTCCCTAAGACATACCTGTGTCCTAATCCTCAGAATCTGTGAATGTTCCCTTGTCTGTAAAAAGAATCTCTGCAGATGTCATTCATTTAAGGATCTTGAGGCGATTACCCTAGACTATCCAAGTGGGCCCCAAACACCATCGCAAGGGCCTTAATAAGAGATGCAGAGGGAGACGAACAGAAGTGCTTTCTTCCATATCACATTGCAGTTACATTGGTTTTTAATCGATGCATCTTGCCAGCTTGATAGAGTCCTCAGTTGGAAATTTTTTCTGAATATTTATTATGGTAGGTGCTATCCTAGGCCCTGAATAAACATAGGCAAATAAGACACAATTTCTGCCCTCAAGAAGCGTATGGTTCAGGACAAGAGACTTTTATATATTTTTTATCTTCTATACTGGGAGCATTGTTGGACACTTGTGTAAGATGATGGTTACTACTCTATTAATTGTTTGGTTGGTAGCTGTTGTACATCTGTGTTAAACAAATTAAAGAGTCCCTGTTTTGCCAAACTTGTCTTCTCAGCTGCCAGAGGAGTTCCACTTGGAAGTATGAATTACTGGTTCAGCCCTCCAGGATTGTATGTAGTTACGGGGCAGGGGAATATGATGTGCACGCAACAGATGCCTTGTCCAGGTAAGGTATGGCAGGGGACTTCTTGTTGGGAGGTGGAAAAGTATGCCAGGGGCTCAAAGATCCATTCACTGCTAGCTTGCTTCCAACTCTGCTGCCAGAGAAACAGCAGAGGTGTAGGGATTTGGAAAATGGTGAAGTCCATGACTTTGTTTCTAGACTGAAACCCAGTGGCACGTCAGCAAGTGGCTGGGCTTTAGTTTCAGGCTTACTTTGAACTGTAATGTACACATACAGGGCATACCTGGGCAATGTCCGTTAGTGGGAGCACTCCCTTCCTGCGTGTAGCCTGAGCAGAAGATGTGTGCTCTTGCCCACTCCTCCCTTCCAATTTCACACACGTATAGCCATCATGCTTATGCCCTGCCCTTCAACCTCACCGAGGGCTCCAGCTGTATGCCTGTACCCTCTAACAGTTGTGCCTGTCCACAGTGGTTCTCAAATGTGATCCACAGCTTACTGGTGGGCCACAAAGGGTTTCCTAACAGGCTGCCAGCAGGCCCCAGAATGCAGCCCTTTCTTGTGTTCTCCTTGGAGCATGACATGCATGTCTATTGGCTCTTTGTTTTGTATACTAACTGATGTCACAGAATGATGTGTTTATATGTTGTATGCCTAAAAACATAATCTAATAATCCTTTTAAATGCATTAGTCTCTTATATTATGTAGAAAACAAAAAATGGAATTACAAGTCATTGTTAACAGTAATATTAGCTTTTGTAATTGTCCAGTGATTTACCTTATCTCTACTGAGATCTTCATTCATTCATATGGCTTCAAATTTCTGTCTGGTGTGCTTTCAGGTCACCCTGTAGGACTCCCTGAGGCTCCTCTTGCAGGGCCAGTCTGGTGGTAATGAACTTCTTCAGCTTTTGTTTATCTGGGAACATCATTTCTCCCTCACTCTTGAAGGAGTTTGGCCAAATAGAGGACTCTTGTCTGACAGTTTATTTATGGCCTCCAAAGTTTCTGATGAGATATCTGCTAATTGTTTTATTGAGGATCCCTTGTATGTGGGTGATGCACTTCTCTCTTGCTGCTTTCACAATTCTTTCTTTAATGTTGGCTTTTGAAAGTTTAATTAGAATGCATCTCAGTTGGGTCTCTAAGAGTTCATCTGACTTCAAGCTCATTGAGCTTCCTGGATGTTTATATTCATGTTTTTCATCCAACTTGGGAAGTGCACAGTCATTATTTCTTTAGATATTTGCTCTGTCCCTTTCTCTCTCTCCTCCTTCTGGGACTTCCACAATGTGTATGTCAGTCTGCTTGATGGCATCCCACAGGTCCTTCAAGCTCTGTTCACTCTTCAATAGTTTTTCTGGCTGTTCCTCAATCTCTACTGTTTCCACCATTCTATTTTCATGTTAACAGATTCGTTCATCTGCCTACTCAAATCTGAATTTGAACCCCTCTAGTGAATTTTTTTCTCTTATGGTACTATTCAACTCCAAAATTTCCTTTTGGTTTCTTACTAAGTTTTCCATCTCTACTGATACTTCTATTTGGTGCACACATCATTTCCTTGACTTTCTTCACATTCTCCTTTAGTCTTTGAGCATCTTTAAGACAGTTCTTTTGAAGTTCTTTAAATTAGCTCAAACATAAATATGGATTACAGCAAAATAACTTGACAGTTGTCCATTCATTGATTCATTAAACCACTTTGGGAACGTAGCCAAGGAAATAAATAAAACCCATGTTTATTGTAATGTGAATCAAAAAGTTGGAAACGACACACACTCTTCTACAACAGAGAAATTAAGTAGCACCTATCTATGTGATATAATGTTGCCTGACTTTTAATTTATGAAAAATGTTAATAATATAAAGACATTTTTAATAATGTCAAGCAAAAAGAGCCAGATAAAAAGCTGTACGGTTGTTATGATTGTGATTGTATAAAAAATATTAACAGAGATCCTACAAAGAAATATACCAAAATATTGTTTTTGTTTTTAATAGTGGAATTATAAGTAATTTAACATTTTCTCTTTTCTCTGTTTTCCAAATACATATTCCTCATTGAGCATGTATTACTTTCTTCATAATCAAGCAAAATTTATTAAGTAAAATATGTATCTGACCACAAGTATAAGTAATATAGAGATATAACTGTAGGGATATTTTCATGTTAATCTGAACCCCTCCACAACAGGAAATGATAAAGCCTTCACCTGGTGGTGGCTGAAGGATCTGGCTTTAGCATTATTCTGCCTGAATTCTCTTCCTGGGTCAGTTTGCTTCACCATAGTTTTTTTGTCTTCTTCCTTCTTACCTATTCCTTGTCCGCTCTCAAAAATGAGTAACTGATTTTTTTTTTTCCTTCTCAGCATACCCATTTGTTGTCTATGGACCCCCACAGGTGGGATACGGACCCCCACAGGCTGGATACGGACCCCCACAGGCTGGATACGGACCCCCACAGGCTGGATATGGACTCCCACAGGCTGGATACGGACACCTGCAGGCGGAATATGGATACCCATCAGGGGGATACAGACCCCCACCTGCGGGATATGGAGCCCCACCAGGGGCATACAGAGCCCTACCAGCTGGAAACGAAACCTCACCTACTGGAAGTGAAAACTCAGTGGCTGGAAATGAAACCCTGCCTCCGGGATATGAAATTTCACCTGCTGGAATTAGAGCTGGGTGTAGCAAATCTGTGGCAATCCACTCTCCTGGGTATGAGGCTTCTCTTCCCCATGCCTCATCTTCTCAGATCCGCTCACCCTCTTCCAGGAATTAAACCTTGAAGACTCGCTGAGCAAAGTGGCACCCGAAAACCGAAGTCAGGATAGGAAGGTGGACTCAGGTATATGCTTAAAGGTGTGTCTGATGTAGTGTCACCCTGTGGAAGGGCGGCCTTAGGGGGAGGATGAGTCAACTCTTGATTAGATGGGCCAAAGGAGAAGTAGAATTAGAACTAATTCCCCAATAATTTGGTTGACATTGGGCTACAGTGTAATTATTTTTTTTAATGTTTATTTATTTTTGAGCTGGGGAGAGGCAGAGAGAGAGGGAGACAGAGGATCCTGAGCCGGATAGGGGCTTGAACTCAGGAGCTGTGAGATCATGACATAAGCTGAAGCCAGAGGCTTAACCAACTGAGTCATCCAGATGCCCCATGGGCTGGATTTTTAAACATACCTTGAATGTAGGGTGGAAAAGTCTTCCTGCCTTTCTCCTCTCCCTCCTCTAGAAACATTTATTGCACTGTTTGCTAGGCCCTAAATTATGTTAAAAATATCAAGTTGAGGGGCACCTGGGTGGCTCCTCCATTGGTTAAGCAGTTGGACTCTTGGTTTTGGCTCAGGTCATGATTTCATGGTTCATGAGTTCAAGCCCCTCATTGGTGCCAGCTGCCAGCACACACAGCCTGCTTGGGATTCTCTCTCTCTCTGCCCCTCCCCTGCTCAAACTCTCTTTCAAAATAAATAAACTTTTTAAAAATTAAAAACAAATCAAGTAGAACACTCAGTTGTTTTTCACAGCATTGTTTATATTAGTGAAAGGATGGACCAGCCCATCACTAAATTTCCAATAGTTAGAATTTCATAACTCATGGTACATCCATACAGTGGAATATTATGTGGCCATTGAAAATGACATCTAGATTAGGAAAAGCCTTCTTTAAGATCAAAACCAATAAAGGAAAACAGTGATAAGTTTGACTATATCAAAAATTTTAACTTCTGTATGACCAAAATTGAAAGACAGAAAACGGGATAGGAGAAAGTTAATCTCCAACATACATGTTAAACAAATAATTCATAGTTAGAATCTATGAAGAGCTCCTACAAGTCAACCAAAAATTAAAAATGGACAAAAGATATGAATTCTCAATTAACCAAGGCAGTCAAGTGGCTCAGAAACATTTCAAAAGTTGTTCAATCAACTTGACTAGTGTTAGGAAAATGCAACTTGACATGAGAAACAGTTTCATCTCCAAAGATTTACAAATATTAAAAAGATAGAAAAAGTTAAGTGTTGGGAAGGAACACATGTGGGGAAAGGTTATTTTATCCAATATTGGTGTGAATGTAAGTTGGCATGCAGTTTTAGAAAGAAATTTGGCAGTGCCTTTTAAAAGGTAAAAGATATCTACTCTTTTTAAAAAAATTTTTTTTAATATTTTTTTATTTTTGAGGGAGAGGGGTCTGAGGGACAGAGAGAGGGAGACACAGAATCCGAAGCAGCAGCACAGAGCCTGACGCGGGGCTTGAACTCACAAACCACGAGATCATGACCTGAGCCAAAGTCAGACGCTTAACCAACTGAGCCACCCAGGCGCCCCAAAAGATATCTACTTTTGATTTAGCACCTTTACTTGTCAATATCTATCCCTGAGAAATGCTTGCACCTGTGCACAAAGATGTGTGTGGGAAGATTTTATTACATTCATTGTTTCTAACATCACAAAATTGGAAATAACCTATGAAGTCATTAAAAGTATTTACACAAACTCTGGTACATCTAAGCTACATATGCAAAAATTCTGTCTTATTGTTAAAATGAGAAAAGCAAGTTGTAGGGATTATATACTGCAGTGATTTTCAATCCCATCAGACTGAATGCCCCCATAACAAATAATTTGTAATGTCTCCTTTAGATCATCGGAATGAAATTTCTAGACAACCGCATGATTCCACATCACTTCAACCTAAATCAATCAATACATAATGCCATAAATGTGATAGAAAGAAATAATAGAAAACTAGTTTGTAGTAAAATTTTAACTATTTTAATATATAAATGCTTAAATTCCACCGTACAAGAAAACATAACAAAGTAATCAAGTGCTCACCCCCCCATATGTAGATTCAGCAAATTCGTAAACACTAGAACTGATCCGTGTATGTTGTATTGGTGACTTGAATACCATAGTGGCAGTGCTGGTGGCAATGTCGTTTTCCAAAATGATGAACAATCCTTGACAAATTTCTAAATAAAACAAAGTTTCATTTTCCCTTTACACAGTGGTTAAATTCCTGAAAAGTTCTGCATGTATTAAAATCATATAATACAGGGTTAGGCTCTAGGCTCAAATGATTACAAGCATCTGTCTTATTGACATTGATGGCCAGAGATTCATTTAAAAATCATGAGGGGGTGTAGGATGATTCTTTGTTGTGAGGAACTGCCCTGTACTTTTCAGGACATCTAGCATCCTTGACCCCTCACCTATCAAATACCAACAGTGGCTTATAATTGTGATCACCAAAAATGCCCCCACTCATTTCATAATTGCCCCCTGGGGGTCAATGCCCAGAACTACCATTCTAGACTATTAGACTATTCCAAGGTTTTTAGCCACTTAAAGACTCACTATTCCCCTACCTTGACCAACTTCCTAATTTCACTGGCCTTTCCTTGCTTTCTTACAGGCTTATCAAGTCACCTAAAAGGAGGCCTTAAAACTATTATATCAAGTGTTTTTAGATATTATATAGCAGAAATGTTTTAGGAGCTCTAGCATACAATATTACCAGACCCAGAAGACATTTAAATCATGTATTTTTTTCTATGCATGTTTAGTATGTAGTTGAGGACATGTTGTATATACAAGTGTTTCACCTGACACTTTATATTTTCATAGCTTTTACTTATTTGCTTATTAAGTGTTTCAAAAAGTTTTAATGTTTACCTATTTTTTAGAGGGAGAGACAGAGCATGAGTTGGGGAGGAGCAGAGACGGAGACAGAGACAGAGAATCTGGAACAGGCTTCAGGCTCTGCACTGTCAGCAGTGAGCCCGATATGGGGCTCAAACTCGGGAACGGCAAGATCATGACCTGAGCCGAAGTGGGACACTTAATTGACTGAGCCACCCAGGTGCCCCAGCTGTTTTTTAAACAGCTTTGGGGTAGGAGCACCTGGGTGGCTCAGTCAGTTAAACGTCCAGCTTCAGCTCAGGTCATGATCTCAGGGTTCATATGTTTGAGCCCCTCATCAGGCTCTGTGCTGACAGCTCAGAGCTTGGACCCTGCTTCTGATTCTGTGTCTCCCTCTCTCTTTGCCCCTTCTCCACTCATGCTTTGTCCCTCTACCTCTCTCAAAAATAAATAAACATTAAAAAACAGTCAAAACCCATAGCTTTGAGGTATAATTGATAATTATAAAAAATTGAATATATTTAATGTATAGTTGGATAAGTTTCATAGGTTTTTGAGAATTCCTCATAAATATTGTTAGTGGCTACACAGTATTCTGACACGGTGCACCATTACATATTTTCTCAATCCCTATTTTAAAATATTTTAGTTGTTTACAAGTTTTTGCTATTACAAACAACATTGCGATTAACTTCTCTTATATAGAGCTTTTTTTTTTTTTAATTTTGGATTATTCCCTTGAAACAGGTTAGAGTTATTGATTGAGCCTCATTGTAACAATTAGGAAACCAGATGCTCCTATGCTGCCAAGGACAGGCTTCCCTAAGGAAGTTGGTGGATGTTAATGGGTCTTATGTGGAAAAGGTGGTTATTGAATCACATATATTTGAAAAGCCAAGTGAACAGATTTCTTAACCTCATGACCTCTCAGCACCTTGAATATACTAGTGAACATAAATCTCTAAGAGGGAGAGATTTTCAAAATACACATATTTTTCAAAATTATTTTACCTAATCTATTTTATTCACTAAACATTTTGGAAAAACTATTATTTAGTGGAACAAACTTCAGGAAACACTTTCTGGAATGAGTGGATATTAGAATTAAAATGAACTGTAAGTGTCTGGAATATGCTAGCCCTTAAAACTGTTCCCAACAGTGAGGCAAGTCAAGGACCATTCTTCTTCCCCTTCCAAGAAAAAGGGCTTCATGTCCAGTTTGTAGAGAACAGGAGATCTTGAAGAAGGCACATGATAGTATAGAAAGTAGCTACAGATTCCTCATAGAAATTACTGGCATAGAGTCATGTCTGGGACACTGGAGTGGCAGGATAGGGACTTCCGGTATGTCCAGGTAACTGCATGCAGGGAAGAAGTAAAAAGGGAAAACATAGGTATAACCCTTTTCTAAAGATTCCAAATAGAGTATTCAGACCATATGGATCTTTTTTAAAAAATGTTTATTTATTTATTTATTTACTTTGAGAGAGACAGCAAGGGAGGGGCAGAAAGAGAGTCCCGAGCAGGCTCCTTGCTGTCAGCACAGAGCCAGGTGCAGAGCTCAGTCCCACGAACCATGAGATCATAACCTGAGCGGAAGTCAAGAGTTGAATGCTCAACCAACTGAGTCACCCTGGTGCCTCAGAGCATATGGATCTTAAACATGGGTCACAGGTTCCAGACCTCTTTCTCTTATAATTTTTTGGAGGAAAGTGCTGAGGATTTTTTTAAAGAGTTTCTTCTTTTCTCACTTCTTTTTAAAAAAAATTTTTTTTAATGTTTATATTTCTGAGAGAGAGAGAGAGAGACAGCATGAACAGGGGAGGTTCAGAGAGAGAGGGAGACACAGAATCTGAAACAGGCTCTAGGCTCTGAGCTACCTGTCAGCACAGAGCCCAATGTAGGGCTCGAACCCACAAACTGAGATCGTGACCTGAGCCAAAGTCAGACATTTAACCGACTGAACCACCCAGGTGCCCCCTTCTTTTTTCACTTCTAAATCTCTCTACATGGGCAGAAGTGACAAGGAGAGGAAGAGGGAGAGATTCTCCAAACCAGAGCAGGAATAAGGTTCCCCTCATTCAGCTTTTCAGTTTGTGCTGGAATGTGATGTGAGTTGGGAATAGGGTCAAGGGGTGAGGCCTCTTTTATGCTGAAATAGTTCTCTAAATAGCTGACCTCTAACAAGCATATTCTGGGATTAGAATTCTAAAAGGGAAGCAAGCAGACTTTCTCTTCTGCTCTTCGTTCTAGTCATACATGTACCAGATGGATTTGAAGTGAAGTCCAGCAACCTAGAAGGGTAAGCAGGTCCAAGCCTCCTGAAAGTGGAATTCTGTCATGTTCTCCCCTGCAAAGGGAACTTGGTCACCTGTTTCCCCAAGCTGCTGGAATACAACCAAAGGTGGTAACCGTATAGAGGTGAGACCAAGCAGAGCCCCAGTTTGGACCCACTGGGGGCTGTGAGGCACACCTACTCTTAGCGCCCACTGCCTGATGCAGCTATTCCCCCAAAGACTCAGTCAGATTCCATCTATAAGAAGCACATCCTATAAGAAGAGCTTTGGGTCCTGCGTATGCAAAGGGATCTGGTTTTGCTCTGCTTAGGACAAATCCGGCAAGAGTTCAGTGAGGCCTGTTCTGTGCTGAAACACTAATGCTGAGTCATTCGAATCCCCACTGACATTTTGGATGCCTCCTTCCTGATTGATCCCTGAGCTGGTGGATTCATCATCTTCCTGTCTCCTCCCCAGCTGCAATACAGAATCTGCTCTTGCTTTTTGTACTTCGCCTCTTCATTTCCTTAATAGGAAATAGGAAATAGAATACAAAAGAAAAGGAAGAAGGCCTTTTATTCCTGGACTGTCTGATAGTAGACCTACAAAATAAGCACCTAAATACTCTTTTTCCTAGACAGGTGGATGCCTGTAGAACCTTCTGGGCTTGACTGTCCTGAGGAATCAAGGGGAAAATGTGTAGTGGAGGAATTTTTCAACCTATAGATTAATATATGCAGGAAATACTGCATATCTTTGTTTTCCATTAATTCAAGTATACAGACCGCCTCCCCCCCAACATCTGCCTTGCTGGTGGGCTCCTTCAAACCCCAAGATTATGCAAATTTATCCAGATCTTATGTGGCGTCAAGATGCCAGGAAGGCCCTTCCAGGCATCAGATTACTTCTGAAATAGCTACTGCCCAGTCCGGACAGTCACATCAAGTCTGATTTCTGGGTTGTTTCCTTCTGTCCCTGGAATCTTGGGTGGGGCCTGGAAGTTGGGTGTCAGAGATCCAACTCCACACCCCTGAGCACTGGGGAGCAGGACCCCAATGCCTACTCCTTGAGAGACTGCCAGTTCCTTCCCTACCCTTTCAGATTCTCCTGCCTCCATTGCCTCTCCTTGAGCACCCATCCTAATCTTAATCTTGGGATTTGGGTTTCCACAGAGGATAATAGAGAGCCTTTGCCTTCATGTTGACTTGGCTTTTCTTGCCCACTGCCTGGTTGCTTGCTTGAAATCATGTATGTGTGACTATGTGTAGATGTAAAGACCCAATTCAAATTCATACTGCACAGGTTACCTAGTTATCTAGTAGAAAGTAAAACATGTGGCAACCATCCCAACCTTTATCTGGAGCACCTTTAGGAGAGGGCAGTTGGTGTAGCACAGTCAACCATGGACTTCTAGAGAGTAAACTTGTCTTTGAAGGTCCCCAAATGATTCAGGAAGAAAGGATTCCGTCTAAGGGAGAGATTTTGACCAGCAGTTTGATTAGTCTAAATGTGTATTTAATAGCTAATATTTACTGTTTAGTAATCAGCATGTATTATTAAACATAAGACTGTATTAATTGTACTGGGTGTTAATAAGTAATTACTAATATTGAACACAGTTGTTAAATTCCATTTAAGTTCTAAGTAGTCATTCAGCAAATCTTTGAGTGCCGTAGCCAAGGTCAGTGGGGCTAGATATTTGAGTTGTGAGAAAAACCAAGGACAATTTTATCCTCCATCTCAGAAATAGATAATGGTCATCTTGTAGAGAAGTTACCAGAATGTGTCTTGCTCTCCTCTTTCACCATGTCTGTGTCTGGAATGCTTTCTATCTTACTCCTCTCCCTACTCTAATACTGAGCTCCTTTTGGTTGCCTGGCTGAGTCCTATTCGGCAGCTAAGTCCCAACCCAAATGCTCTATGAAACCTTCCTGAATTTCCCAACCAAATTCAGATGTTATTTCTTCCTTTGTCCCACTCTATCTTGTGCACGACTCCATTAGAGTATTTACAGAGTAATTGTCATTGCTGGAGTATATGTCTGTCTGCCCTGAACTGTGAGTTCTCTGAGGACACATATTGGGCCATTATTTGATGTGAGGCATTACTTCTTGTGCTGTAGAGAGGAGACAGAGTTGTTTCAAATATAGTCCCTGTTTTCTAAGAACTTACTGTTCAGAGATTTAGGGCAAGAAAGAAACTAGTTGTTAGCAATTGTTTTTTTCACTTTGCCACTCTTCTGGAAGATCCACGGAAAAGAGTTCCTGGTTATTGTTTTAATATAGGTTTTATTACTTTTTAGGTATGGTAAGGCCAACATTAGACAGCTGCCATTGAAAAGATAGTTTGTTATACTTATAGAGGCATGCCATGCCATGAGGACCACACAGGAAAGCACCAGGGACAAGAGGGAGACTGTGCCGCAGCCTTTATTGTGGTTTCCTTGGGAAACCACATGGGAAGGAACAGGTGAGGCAGGGTAAGCAGGTTTAGGATTGCATAGTTTGAATAATGGCAGTGGGCTTGGGGGCATAGGGGCTGGCCCTGGTTGTCTAGTCCCTGGCTTGGGGGTGATAGAGCAGGTGGGGCCTGATAACAGAGGTGGTTGGAGCAAGAATGTATTATGCTAAGTGAAATAAGTCAGACAGAGAAAGACAAATACCATATTATTCCACTCATGTGGAATTTAAGGAACAAAAAAGATGAACATATGGGAAGGAAAAAAAAAAAAAGAGAGAGAGGAAAGTAAACCGTAAGAGACTCTTAACTATAGAGAAGAAATGGAGCGTTGATGGAGGGAGGTGAGTGGGGGATGGGCTAGATGGGTGATGGGCATTAAGGAGAGCACTTGTTATGATGAGCCCTGGGTGTTATATGTAAGTGATGAATCACTAAATTCTACTTTTGAAACCACTATAACACTATTTATAACTAGACTAACTAGAATTTAAATAAAAATTTGAAGCAAACAACAATCCATATACAAAAAAAAAAAGAGGTGTTTGGGGGAATGGCCCCAGAATGGTTGACTTCCTTTTGAAAGGCACATTCACCCAGGGGTGCCTGGGTGCCTCATTTGGTTAAGCATCGACTTTGGCTCAGGTCGTGATCTCACAATTTGTGAATTCAAGCCCCATGTCGGGCTCTGTGCTGACAACTCAGAGCCTGGAGCCTGCTTTGGATTCTGTGTCTCCCTCTCTCTCTCCCCCTCCCCCGTTCTCTCTTTTTCAAAAGTAAATAAACGTTAAAAACATATTTTAATTAAAAATTTTAAAAAATTAAAAAAAAGAAGAAATTGGCTAACCCTCAGAGGGCCAGTCCCTTTAGGGGTAGCAATCCCCAGATGTCCAAGTATCAGAATACAGAAAATAAAAAATATGATTAATACAGTTATAAAACTAGGTCCCTGGCCTTCCTCATTGGTCCCCTTAACTCTGTGTGGAATCTTTGAAAAACAGGATTAAAAAAGGAAAGGGAAGAGGGAAGGAAACTCCTCTCTTAATTTAGAGTGCAGTCAGCTAAAGGTAAATCAACTACACTGTTTTAAATAAATAGGGGCTATTTCCTCACATAACAAAACTTCAGGAGGTAAGCAGACCCTGATCGGTGCCATAACTCAACCACATCATCTGAGGCTCAGCTCCTTCTAGTCTGCCACCCCTGCTATGCCTAGCATGTTGGCCAGGATGGTCAGGACAGCTGACCGCCTCTGGTCTTGTGCCCACCTCCAAGGAGGAAGATGGGATGGGCAGAGGTACCCACCTGTGGCTCCCTTCCCTTCTCTAGATCCTGGCCTGAGGGCGGGCACCTTCTGAAATGCTAATCTAAAACAATCTAAATATCTCTCATTGGAATACTGCAGGGTTATTAAAAATGCGGTAACTGAAAATGTACTAATAGAGATTAAGCTCCAAAAGATAGTACATGAAAAAAAAAAAAGGCTACAAAATCACATGTTTACTTTGCCACCATTTTCTGCACATGCTGAGAGTGACTGAGCCTTGTTTGGGGAGCTCCATAGGACCCTGGTGGCAGGACTTGTCTCAAGGGGAGGGAGCTGCACGGCTTGGGGAAAGGACTGGGAGCGAGGATGAATTTTTCCCACTCTAAACCCTTTTGGATCTTTTGATTTTGTGCTATATGCTTGCATACTGTGTGTTTCTCTTTTTAAAAGTGAATAACTTAAAGAATAAATTAATAATAGGCTAGGTTCTGCCTTGCTTATAAATTGTGAAATGGTTCCTCTCAACCTTTGGGATTAAGTGCCAAGTCCTGGTTTTCTGTATATGTGGGTCACATTATACTCCTTAGTATTTAAGGACCTGCATGGTCTTGGCCCTTCCTGTCACCTCTCCAGCTATGCACTCCAGCTGAGCAGAACAAAATGCAGACCCTGAACTGGGCATGGCCTTTGCCTCTATGCCTTCCTCCCCACTGTGTTTTACTCATCTTTCAAAATAGCCCAGAAGTTCTTTCTTCTGAGAGGCTTCTTCTCATCTTCCCTTCCATAGTAATTGCCCTTCTACTGAGCTTGTATTTTTTCTAGTGAAAACCTTTGCCAAACCTACTGTTGCCTGCCCATCTCCCCCATGGCCTGTCAACTCCTTGAGAACAGAGACTGTCCCATTGCAGGGACATCTAGCAGAAAGCACTGCACAGAGTGCGTGTCTAGTAAACATTTGTTGAGGGAATAGGAATAGAAATGTGACTATGTTATGTTTCTTGATTTATAATACACACATATAATACATATATATACCACCAAGTTCTGGCCATGAGTTGAAGATTATAATTTCCAGAATAAGTTTCATTTGGCAGGCTATTAGAGAGGATTTGAATTTCAGATTTTATTTATTTATTTTATTATTATTTTTAAAAATGTTTAATGTTTGTTTACTTTTGAGAGAGAGAAAGAGAGACAGAGTGTGAGCAGGGGAGGGGCAAAGAGACAGAGGGAGATGCAGAATCTGAAACAGGCTCCAGGCTCTGAGCTGTTAGCACAGAGCCCAACATGGGGCTCAAACTCATGAACTGTGAGATCATGATCTGAGCTGAAGTCAGACGCTTAACCAACTGAGTCACCCAGCCTCCCTGAATTTCAGATTTTAGAGGAAGCTGTCCCTTCTCAGGCTGGTTGAGTTGAACAGTCCTGAAGACATGGTTATGTTTCACCTCTTCCCTACCTCACAGCCATGGTTTATATGGTTCCTACTGGCCAAAGCCACCACTGGCAAGGTGGTCCCATAGAGCTCATCTGGTATGTAAAGGCCTCTGGAAGTGAATAAACGGTCATTACTGAAGTTGGGTGCTAGGCGATGTGCTAAGGTACTTCATGAACATATCTCACTTAATCCCCATCGCAATCCAGTGAAGTGGGTACTTTTAATATCTTCACTTTATGGCTACGTATACTAAAGCTTAGAGACTTTAGGAAACCAAAGAATCCACAATTACTGAGTGGTGGAAGCAAGACATGAACTCAGACTGATTCCAGAGCCTGCAACCCTAA